TTCTCAAGCTTATCACGTGTACAAGAGACATGTTTCATCTCTCACTCCTTACCTAGGCAGATTCTTATCGACAGCTGCTGCTTGGGAAGCGAAATTGCGCACAAACTGTAAAGTTCTGGAGTTTGGTGTTGTGACACGAAAAGGGGCTCCCCGGATGGTTGTTTTGGCGTCGAGAGATTTATTGGTGGATGTTGTGTACACAAGGCAAGGTTCTCCATCACATCCCTCCCGTCTTAGACATAATAGAGAGGGCGTATGTATAGGCTAACTCAACGGGGGTATCCGCAGTCGTTCAACATTTGAAATATGCAGATCATCCACGGGAAGAGGACGTACCCCAAGGAGATTATCCACTGTCGTTCAGCACAGGATATTTTCAGGATTGATGCAGTTATCCCCAGAAAGGATAAAGCCAATAGGTTTATCCATGGCTGTTTAACGCGTGAATTATTCCAGCTTGCTACATCTCAACCTCCCAAGTGAAGTTTACCCCAGTTTAATTGAGGAAAGACGACTTATCCCAAAGATATTATTTACGATCATCCAACACGTCAAACACTCGTATTATTTTACGTATTCCACAGAAATTGTCATTCTTCATGGGGTCGTGTCCCAAAGGGTGTTAGAGTTGACCGTCCAGCTCATGAAATATATGGAACTCGGGTTTGCTCCAGTTGTCCCATCAAGGCCAACAGCTGCAGTGGTGTCTGAGAATGTAACTGTTTGATGGCTTCTGGAGTTTATCTTAATTGTCTCATAGAAAATGTCTTAATGGCTCATAAAAGTAAATGCATCAAGTAGAGTCAGTGTTCTGGGTTGTGGCTCAAGTGAAAAAGGAGTCAATTGGCGACTACTTTGTATCTTCATTACTGCTGAGTAGATTGGAATTATAAACACTGAAGGCTGAATTGAGCACCACACTACTGAAACATATATCTAGTATCTTTATTAGCTACTTCAGAGCGTGGTTTTTTATATAGTGGTTAAGTGTCTTACAAAAGCGTACCTTGTATCCACACCTCTCTGTTACATTGGCAGTGTTTAGCCCGATTGTTCAGAGTCAATGCCAGAATGTACTCAGTCACAGTTCTTTTCATTTAATGTTTTATATTTATCTATGACAACTGCAAGCCATCTAGTTTATTTACACTACCAGAGTCCACATCTTACAACCCTCTACTGCTTTACACTGCTGCTCAGAACACAATGATCGTTTACCAGTACTCTGCAACTTGCTCCATTTCGCGTCTGTGGGAATAAGCGAATTTATTTACTCAATTCTGTCTGTTTATGGGAGGCTTACGGTCAACAGATAGCCGCTTTACCTTTAGTAGCAGTCGTTGTCAGCTGTACAGGAGGAACTTAGTGGGTGGTGATGGGGTGATGGTGCTGAGGATCCGGGTTCACATCTTTTATTTATTTGTCAGTCTTAGTCACACTTTTCCGCCAGTTTCTTACAGTTTATTCAGCTCTCCCAAGCACGTGTGTAGGGTGGTCTTGTTTCAGTAACACCAAGACGCACAGGTCGAACATGAGGTACACGTCACCATAAAAGGAACAAAGATCACTTGCCGTATTATTTATGACAAACATGACTTCATGATTATCTTCTTATCACAGGAGTTTTACTCAGTACCACTTATTATATGTTTTATCCTGTTATCTACATTTGGTTTGATTATTATCGTGGAAGACCAACTCTGAATACGTTCTTAGAATCATTAAGATATTTTCACAATATAATATGAAGTACTCGAAATGTCCACTACTTAAGGGAAGGGAAATACTGGCAAGTGGACAAAATAATTCTGGAGTGTTGTTGTCTGAAGCCTTCAAAGTTCAAATGATCTTTCTCGGTGTTAAATTTTTAACGAATATCAACATTATGCACGAGTCATGACCACGTGTCACAACACTTACTGACGCTTAACATGTTATCCATGAACACGTTTTTGTTTATCAACACCACCACATGGAAGTTACGTGATAATGTTTACATCATTAATGAACCGTGTGTGTGTGTGTGTGTGTGTGTGTGTGTGTGTGTGTGTGTGTGTTCGTGTGTGTGCTCGTGTGTGTGTGTTCTCGCTGACACCAACTGTAGGAGCATCGAGGCTACCATTATCCATGAACAACTACGCTGGACTGGCCATGTTACCCGCATGGGCGACAGTAGACTGCCAAAGCAGCTACTTTACAGTCACCTAATGAATAGTAAACGTAACGCTGGCGGGCAACTGAAAAGGTATAAGAATAGTCTTAAGACAAACCTGAAAAATTGCCAAATCGACCCCCTCACCTGGGAGACGATTACTCCACACCGTAACGCTTGGAGTTAGCCCGACTGCATATCGAGGCAGACAAGCGCCAACGCCGGAAAGAATCTGCCGCCGTCCCTCCCGCACTGGATGTAGCCCTCCACATGTGCAACATTTGTGAACGGCCCTGTCGGTCCTGTATCGGCCTCTCTAGTCAACTTAGAGCTCACCAACGAAGGTGACATCCTTAATAACTTGTATCATTTTATCATTGCTGGATGATCGTCATACTTGATTCCGAGTGACAGCAAAGTAGTAGTAGTAGTAGTAGTAGTAGTAGTAGTAGTAGTAGTAGTAGTAGTAGTAGTAGTAGTGTGTGTGTGTGTGTGTGTGTGTGTGTGTGATAACTGCAACACAAACTATAACAGTTAATATCAAGTAAAGCAGCAAGACAGGACTTGTTTATTATACATAGTGTAAATACAGATGATGACAGCCAGAGCTGATATATCTAAGGTTATGCCTCGGCCACTCGACACAGGGCTACACTGATTCAGTCCTATCATTAAACCAGATATATAGACGATTCCTGGTATTGTTTCTGCTGTGTAGTACGACTGTTAATGTTGGAGACTATGTCATCGTGTGCATCTTGGGAAGAAATACAACTTGGTGTTATTTATTGTATACCGTACTGTAATGGTCACAGAATAGAACGTAAAGTTATAATATTCTATCAATCTATTGCTCTCTCTTGTTCGAAACTATACCCAAATCTAAACTACTTCTGTAATCAGACAAGCAGTTCGGAGACTTTACATAAACTTTCCAGTTCAAAGTCTCAGGCGTGTAGAGAGAGAAACATTTATTCGTGACTGTACAGTACATTGTGGAACAGCTTGTCTTAAAAAACTAGTTTATGGACAACATAACCAAGGTTGTTTTCCCTGTTGACGTAATTGTTGGTCAGTTGCTGAGAATCAGACGAATGTTCAAATTTCACTATACAATATCTGACCTCGAAGCTGGGCAAGATGGTTAATCTAATGGAAACTTAAAATATATGACGAATGATTATGTGATCCTTGCGTGGACGTGTAGGTAAGAGTTGAGGGAGAATAATGAGCCTTTATATGTGAGAGATCGATGTGAGTTTGTACTATACTTAGCTACATGTGTCAAGAGGTTGGTGGGATGGCAGCGCGTGTATCCTGTCCTCCTGGGGTCGAGCTCTAAATGAACGCTGATTGGTGACGTGTCTCGGCTTTACCCCCCTAAGAACACACCAGAAATATGAAGACTTATTTTGTAGAAGATAATTTCTTAGTGCCCTCCGAGATATTCTTGCTACGTCATCTGTTCTTCTTGCTCTGACACAAATCATTCTGGGCCTCAGACACTAATCATTCTAGGTCGTCCCCCAGACACTAATCATTCTAGGTCGTCCCCCAGACACTAATCATTCTACCTCCTTCCTCTAACACTAATCATTCTGCCTCCTTCCTCTGACACTAATCATTCTGGCCCCTTCCTGACACTAATCATTTTAGGTTGTTCTTCCTCTAACACTAATCATTTTGCCTCCTTCTTCCAACACTAATCATTCTAGGTCATTCTTCCTCTTATTCTGGTTGTTCCTCCTCTAACATCAGTCGTTTATCTTAGAGACTGAACCTTTGAGCACCTGCCGCCGTATTACCCATCTCCAGCGCCCTCCCGTCGTTGCTCATGTCTCGGCACCGGAAACATTGCTTGATAATAACAATAGCTGACGACTTGCTACCCACTCTCACCACCACCATCCTGTTGTTCATGGGTTCTTAAACAATGAGATACAACTGTGCAATTTAGTGAAGCTTGTCAGGGGTTTTTAATAGGTATATACTGAAGGAGCAGGAGGGAAGTGTGAGCTGATTATTTGACTAAGATGTGTGTTAGTTCCTTATGTTGGACTCTGTGTGTGTGTGTGTGTGTGTGTGTGTGTGTGTGTGTGGGTGGGTGGGTGAGTGGATGGGGAGAGAGAGTATGGATGGTGGTTATGGGAAGGATGTGGTTGTGGGGAGAGTATGGTTGGTGGATATGGGGAGGATATCAAGCTGAATGTAGAGGGAGAGGGGGTTTTGGGGTGAGAATGTTAAGTTAGGCTAGGTTAGGTTAGGCTAAGTTAGGCTAGGTTAGGTTAGGTTAGGCTAGGTTAGGTTAGGTTAGGTTAGGTTAGGCTAGGTTAGGCTAGGTTAGGCTAGGCTTTATCTTATTTGAATATTGTCCGTCTGTGTGCGGGTATTGTTCATTGTCCAGGTATTAAGATGTTTTCTATTATTATTATTGTACCATTATTTTGCACTACACAACCACTATCACCACACCATTCAACAACTATCCAGACCTACCACCTGCTGCCATTACAGTCAGAATCATCATCACTATTCATAGATCTTCCAGATAAATGTTTCACTGCCATCATCATCATCATCATCATCACTCACACGTCATATTTTTTTTCCACCACAATCACCATCACCACCACATTCACCATCACCACCCTCACCATCCAACCACAATTATTAAGAACTGTCACCTTCTACCACCAACACTTCCACCACAATCACCACTACTACACTCACTATCACTACTCACCATCACCAACTACTACACTATCACCACTACTACACTGTCACTATCACTACTCATCATCACCACTACACTGTCACTTCTCACCATTCAATTCTCTGTCTTCCTCAGGTTTTATTGTGAAATACTGAGAAATAAAGCAGTGAAACCACAGCGGTCTATAGGTAAGCATTGGGAGATTTTTTCTTTGTATTATTATTATTATTATTGTTGTTGTTGTTGTTGTTGTTGTTGTTGTTGTTGTTTACGTCCTATGTGTATACGTGATATGTGTATTTGATTTACACATTGGAAATAAGTAACTGACACGATAAGTATATATAAGTATTTTTTTTAGTTAATCCTGTAAATTCTGGTGGTGTAGGAGTTTCGTGTGTGTGTGTGTGTGTGTGTGTGCGAACAGTAGTCACCACCTGACCCTCCTAAACCACCCACATTGATCATCCATTGTCCTTTATTTTATTTTTTTTTCTTCTCAACCACATCCGTTTTCCTGTTCTCTTTTGTCTTGTTAACCGACCGAATTTGTTCGTTTTTTGTATGTGTGTTTTGTAAATTTATAACCGGACAGTACTTTATTTACTTTACTTTATTTACTTTAACTTTTGTATACTAAACTTTACACTCTTATTCTGTCCTATAAATCGTGTTTATTATTATTATTATTATTATTATTATTATTATTATTATTATTATTATTATTATTATTATTATTTCCATTTCCCTTTCTTCCCTTTAGCTGTTATTTTTATTTTACTCTTTCGCTTTTATTGATTTTTCTCTATTTACACATTTATTATGTGGTTACTGTATCGTCTTGTGTTACCCCAACTAACTGCTCTAATCCACATTCGTTTGTCAGGTGTTATCACATTTCTCCACCTGTTATCACCTGTTGCACCTTTTTTTCACCTGTTATCACTTTTTTCACCTGTTATCACCTGCTGTCACTTTTTTCACCTGTTATCACCTGTTATCACTTTTTTCACCTGTTATCACCTGCTGTCACTTTTTTCACCTGTTTCACCTGTTATCACCTGTTATCACCTTTTATCACCTGTTATTGCGCCCTTTTTACGTGTTATCACCTTTATTTTGTTTTCTCTTGCTTAGTGTTTATTTTTCTTTCTTGTTTATGTTTTTCTTGCGTGTTTATATTTTTTTTATTTTGTTTTAATGGTTGTTTATTCGCAAGTGTTTTTTTTTTTTAGTTTAACAAATTTATTGACAAAGCTTGGAGTACAGTTTACCTATTCTGAGTAATTCAGTCAGGTCTTGACACTGAGGGTGGTATCACTTCTCACTGCCACGCAAGACAGAGGTTCATACACACAGAAATACATCATATTCATTAACAGTACATATAGGTCAGAGTCATGTGGGTGATGTCACTGTTCACTGCCATGCAAGACAGTGGTTCATATACATTGGACGTCATAATCTAATTGAAGACTAATCAGTGTGGGCTAGCAAATTTGGGATAAACAGCAAGAATGTCCCCAAGCACCCCCGATTCAATGTAGTAATTACAAAGTTCATGATACAATATGCCAGGTGGCCTGAAGTCTTTGACAGTGTCACATTCGATAATATGGTGTTCAAGTGTATGCTTTAAAGGTTTTTCACAAAGTTTACATGCTGAGTGTTCCGGTATGGGTACAGCGTTACTAACCTGCCAGATGTGTCTGTATCCTAGCCTAATTCTGGCCACGACTACATCACATTGTCTGGTTCTGTCCTTATGCCCGACATCCCAGTCTCTGCTCCCAGAGGCCCTACCCAAACTCACGGGGTAACTCCTGACTTTCTTACCTACAAACCACTGATGACCCTGTTACCAACACCTCTTCCCTCCCTGACCAGATATCCCCCCTCCTAGAGACAGGCCTGGCACTTGACATTATTAGGGACCTGCCGCGCTTTGCCATAAACAGATAAATTGTACCGGGAATTTTCCCCCTACACACTCATCATTCTGTCACTTTATGTAACTTGCTGACAAAACCCATGACCCTTCAGGCTTTTACACCCTTAATGCATGAGTCATAAAGGCAAGCATGAACTACGCATGCTTCCCAGATGGGCGCTGTAAACGCTTTTGCTCTTCAATTTGCACAGGATGACAAGGGGGTGCCCAATAAACTAGCCCCCCCCCCCCCCGGGGCAAAAAAAAAATCGTGTATGGAACGTGATGTTATGTAGGATTGCCTTAAGAAGATGTTCCCAAGTACATGATAAATATTCCCCATATGAAGAGAGGTTAGTTTAGGTTGTATTAGGTTAAGTTAGGCATGGTTAAGTTAAGTTGTCAGGCTGTGCTAGATTTGATTAGAGCTGGTCAGTATAGGTCAGGTTAGATGAGGTTAGGCTAGGTTAGAATGACGCAGGTTAGGTTAGGTTAGATTGATCCAGGTTAGGTAAAGTTAGGTTAGGATGGGCATTTAACACCCCGGAAACAATGACCAACCTCTGATGTATTCCTCTACCTACAACAGTGACGATAGAGTCCATCTTTGCGACAGTATCAGAAAGGTCGTCCCTTAACCTTATCGTCAATATCAGAGTGTGACCTTTTGACCTTGCCCAGCTGTGACCTCTGACTAATTACATCATCTTTTTTTTTCCTGGGACAAAGGGCGATGTTTACAGCCCGTCAAATTAACCTTTAACAATGACGTGTAAAACGTGGGCGTAGAGTAAGATATGGGCGTTCAGAGTAAGATGTGGGCGTGTAGAGGAAGATGTGGGCGTGTAGAGTAAGATATGGGCGTTCAGAGTAAGATGTGGGCGTGTAGAGGAAGATGTGAGCGTGTAGAGGAAGATGTGGGCGTGTAGAGGAAGATGTGGGCGTGTAGAGGAAGATGTGGGCGTTCAGAGTAAAATGTGGGCGTGAAGAGTAAGATGTGGGCGTACAGCGTAAAATGTAGGTGTACAACAGAGTAAGATGTGGGCGTACAGAGTAAGATGTGGGCGTGTAGGAAGATGTGGGCGTGTAGAGTAAGATGTGGGCGTGTAGAGGAAGATGTGGGCGTAAGATGTGGGCGTTCAGAGTAAAATGTGGGCGTGAAGAGTAAGATGTAGGTGTACAACAGAGTAAGATGGGCGTACAGAGTAAGATGTGGGCGTGTAGAGATGTGGGCGTGTAGAGGTAAGATGTGGGCGTGTAGAGGAAGATGTGGGCGTGTAGAGGAAGATGTGGGCGTGAAGAGTAAGATGTGGGCGTTTAGAGGAAGATGTGGGCGTGTAGAGGAAGATGTGAGAGTCAGAGTAAAATGTGGGCGTACAGAGTAAGATGTGGGCGTGAAGTGGAGGATGCGGGCTACTAGAGTTGATTGGAGAACACTGGGTGGGTGAAGCATGAAGCAGAGGGGTGTGGGAAAATGCAGATGGGAGAGAGGAGGAGAAGGATGGGATGGAAGAGGGGGTGGAGGGAAGGAGAGCGGGAAGGAGAGGGAGGAGAGAGGAGGGAGAGGAGGGAGGAAGGAGAGAAAGAAAGAGGAGGGAGGGAAGGAGAGAGATGAAAGAGGAGGAGGGGGAGTGGAGAAGGGGAAGAATAAGAGGCGGAGGAGGAGAGGAAAAGGTCAAATCAGACTGTGAAAAAGGTGAGAGGAGACTTAATGCCTTCCCCAACATACAGGACCTCCTCCCCCTCCCCTCCTTACCCAACACTCATCCGCCTCCACCACCCTCCCTCCCCTCAAGGTTTACACAGATCCACACCACCCCCCCTCTCTCTCTCTCCACCTGACCCCCCCCCCCCCTCCACCCTACCCCCTCTTCCCTACCCACTTTCCCAAACCTTCATTCTTAGAATTCCAACACACACACACACACACACACACACACACACACACACACACACACACACACACACACACACACACACACAGTTTTCCTCCTACGTATTAAACAGATCCTGCAACGCTCAACCACACACACACACACACACACACACACACACCACATGATCTTTCGACGCTCACTTATATGCTACAAAAAAATTTAAGAATACCACTTGGACCAATATCGCGAATTTACTAACTTTACCAAGACTGTTGGTGATATTCAGAAGCCTCCCGTTGGCCGTTACCAAGACCAGATGCGTCGCCAGGTTGTTCCAAAACACATTGTGGTGTTCTCAGGCGCCATCTAACCCAATATAGGGGCTAACAATTCAATGAACTTTTTGAAAAATCGGTCTTTGCTAATTATCCATCATTTTTATTTTTTCCTTGATGGTCTAAATAAGGGAAATTATTTATTAAATAACTTGACTGTAGTGTTGCTGTGTTCATATCGCCCCCAAGGAATCACATGTCAACTTATACAGATGTCTGATAACAGAAGTATTTTTCTTGACAGGTGATAACACAATACAGGTAGTAAGATAATTTATGTAAAGCATGTTTTTACTTCCTGTCTCTCACCTCGTCACAATAACAATGATAAGGAACGAGTTGACAGGTGCTGCTGAAGCTAAACACTGAGATGATTGGCTGCATCATGTCCACCTCCAACCAATCAGATATAATCACATTTAATATTAAAATATATGACCCTGCCTACCAGTGACAGTAGAAATATATTCACCTGATTAATGATGTAATGGTAAATAACAAAACAAGTCATATATATTCAGCACGTACAAAAACCTCACATGGCGATGGAATATTATTTAGAAGAATACAATTAATCAACGTCACCACGACTGAATATCATATAATATAATTAATCATTGCCAGTACTACCAACCGCTACCAAGACCCTCCCACCTTTGTTTAAAACACTAACGGTCAAGGCGATGGCAACACCAGCATCACAGTTGGTCTTTGTTAATGATCTGTGAGTACTGTGTTGATGTGTCTGTACCTATGTGTTGTCAATACGGCTTTTTGGCTTGTTGGAAATGCTCCCCAAATAAGGTTGTCCGCTAAAAATTTCGCTGACAATGTCCGTACGATGGGACTACTGCAGGTTGCCGGCGTTGTGCATGAGCTACTGCTGCCCATCACGACCAACGTTAAGCAGGGTTAGTGGTCTTAGTCACCCCGGGTCCATGTTCATTCAGCCATGTAATGAAAGATATAAGAATACACCTAACTGGTTGAATTACACTAAAACCCCAAAACAGCTCCATAAAATCACTGGTGCTAAATGACTGACT